AGGCAAGCATGTGGGCAGGTTTACCAGCCCGCTTGGTGATGGGATGCTGCATCCTGCCTGGCCCAATGGTTCCTGTCCCTTCCATAAACTGGGAAGTGAGATTCCCCCTCCAGTGTGCAGGGCTAGGGAGCTGTGGATTTGAGGACAGTGAGGCTGCCATTTGGGAGAGCAAGTGTGTTAAGACAGCAGGACAGGGGAGCCGCACAGTGTCTTGAAGCTCTCCAGCTCTGATTGCCAGGGTGAGGCGTATGTGTCCATCCTGTGCTTTGGCATTGGATGGCACAGGTGCAGGCTCACAGCAGGTGGAAGCAAGGTGTGCCCGGAGTAGGCAGGGCAGAGGGAGGGCGTGTGTTTGCAAGCAGAAGTGGCAGGGAGGAGGAAGCCGGCGCCCAGCGCGCAGCACGGCTTTCAAGGTGTATCTGCCTGCGGCTCAGCGGGGGCGTCAGGAAAGGCATTTTTGTTTTAAAACAAATCTGGGTTTGTTCTGGCATAGGAGATGGAAAGTGCGAGGATTCCTCAGACACCTTAACAGTCTTCAGGGTGGCTTTCCTGCTCCATTTACCTTGGGAATTTGGGAAACTTTGGAAAAGTCTCAGAGCTGGGTCCTGCTGGTATGGTCTCCAGTCCCAGCCTGGCACCCCTCCCTCATTTACACACACATTTGATGTATATGTGAGGACAGGTCCTGGGGCTTGAACACAGAGCCTGGGTGCTGTCCCTTAGCTTTTCTTTTCTTTCTTTCTTTCTTTTCTGTCAGTTGTGAGTCTTGAGCTCAGGGCCTGGACACCGTTCCTGTGCCTCTTTGTGCTCAAGGCTAGCACTCTACTACTTTGAGCCACAGCTCCACTTCTGGTTTTTGAGTGGTTAATTGGATATAAGAGTCTTACAGGGACTTTCACCCCAGGCTGGCTTTGAACAATGATCTTCAGATCTCAGCCTCCTGAGTAGCTAGGATGACAGGTGTGAGCCATGGGAACCCAAAACACATTGGCTTTTCCCACAGGCCACTAAAGGACAAAGTTCATCCAGGAATGGTGACAATAAGGATCAAATGGCCCTAAGGTGGCATGGCCGGGGGAGCTGGGGACCAGACAGACGCCCTGTGGGGTGGGGTGGGTGTAGCCGCAGACCATGATGCAGGCCTGAGGGTCCAGGCCAGAATTTGAGAAGAGCTGAGCAGACTGTGGAGAGGGCAGGGCTTCCCAATAGGGTCCTCCTCTTCCCCACCCCAGGGGACACAGAACTGGGGCACAGTTGGGGAAGGGGTGCTGGCAATGAGGCCAAAGCCCAGTTAGGGAACTGGGGTGCCTTGTATGTGGGACTTTGTCCTTCATGGCCGCCTGGTGAATCCTGCAACTGGAGTATTTGAGCCTGGCCCTGGCAGAGCCAGTCGGCGGTGTGTGTGTGTGGGGGGGGGGAAATGGTACACTGAGGTGGGTAAAGCCTTGGAGCAGTCCGCTGGCAGATGCTGCTGAGACCCCCACCTCCACCCCGGCCGTGAAGAAAAGCCTCGAAGTAAACCACGTGTTTATTTTGAACATTTGAATTTACAAAAACCAAAAGATAACAAAAACCATGACACAGACACCACACACACACACACACACACACACACACACACACACACACACACACACACACACACACACTCTGCATCTCACATCACTTTATGTACAAAAGAGGAGGGGGAGGGTGGAGAGTGGGGGGGCACTAATTTCACCGTGTTGAATGACAGGACATGCTCACGGGCCTCACCCAGCAGGGGTGGGGTGGGGGCAGGAGAGGTCTGGGGATGGCAGGCGGCTGGGGTTAAAGGGTTAAGGAAAGTCAGCCCATCTCTAGGAGGTGGCCCTTCCCCAGTTCAGGGTGAGGGTGCTAGGCTCCAGTTCTGGGGGAGGGGTGGCTATGTCATCTGGGCCCCATCTGGGCCTCAACTTCCCTATCCATAAAGTGAGGGTTTTGACTTCCTCTAAGAGCTCATCCTGCTTGAGTCTGGGGCCTCAGGTCATGCATAGCCGGGGGGGATGGGGGGGGAGGGATGGTCCCAGACATGGGGGAGGGCACCACACACCCTATGGGTGGAGAATCTGGCAGAGAACAGCTGGGAAGTGGCTGTGGCAGGGGTGAGGGGCAGCAGCCCTTCCCCTGGCCCGCTAGGACTCTTGGGAAACTTCCACCTTCCTTTTCCTGCTCACCCACAAACTAGCTCGAGCCCAGTTTTGAGTCCGCTCTGAGAGCCTCACCAAAGGGCCCCTGACCTTGTGGCTCAGCTGACTACACCTGTGGCTCTTGTGCCATTCGGAGTGAGAGCAGCCGCCTCCATCCCTCCAGACCAAAGCACACTGGGAAGCAATGCAGCCCGATCCTGCTCTGTAGAGCTGGGCACTCTGCCCCTCCTGCTGATGAGTGAACCATACACCTAACCTGCTTTGCACTGAAATCTGCCCCCCCCCCCATCGCTGGCTGGCTGATGGACATCACTGGGCAGGTTGCTTTGCCTTGGAGCCCCAACTTCCTCTCCCCTGTATCACAGGGCCAAGAACAGTCCGAACTCATGATTGTGTGAGAATGAGCCAGATGGTGCCCGCAGAGCACCCAACACAGAGGCAGTGAGGCCCGAAAGGGCTCTGACAAGCTGAGATCTGTGCACCTCAGTAGCTCGGGGCTGCTCCGGGGGCAGCCGGGCACCATCCCTGGCTCCCTTTCCCTGTGTTCTTGGTCATGCCCCAAAGCAGCCAAATCTATCAAAACTGGAGTCCAGCCAGGTGCCAGTGGCTCTCACCTGTAAACCCAACTACTACTCAGGAAACTGAGATTTGAGGATTGTGGTTCTAAACCAGCTCAGGCAGGAAAGTCTAAGAGACTCTTATCTCCAATTACTCAGCAAAAAGCTGGAAGCAGAACTCTGGCTCAAGTGGTAGAATGCTAGCCTTGAGCTAAAAAGCTAAGGGAGAGGGCTCAGGTCCTGAGTTCAAGCCCCAGCACTGGCACACACACACATAAACTAAAACTAGTGTCCAAACAGCAGATGCTCAGTGCATGTCCACAGAACAATTAAGAGAAGGAAGGGCTGGGGACGCTGGAGATATGGGGACAGAAGCCCTTCAAAGAAAGCCATACTCAGGCAGTGTCTCTATTTGAGAGGCTCAGATGTCAGATCACCAAAATGAATGCAAAAAGCACTTAGGGTAATATGTCTGGGTGCCCTTAGGTGACCTCCCTCCTCAGCCCCTCGCTTCCTCTGATGTCCACATAAACTGCCTCTTTCAAAACAATAGCAGGGACCTGATGAAGCTCAGGGTCCCCGAAATGTCAGTTCCCGATTCTGTCACCCAGCAACAGTGTGTGTCATCATGAGGAGATGCTTGACCCAGCACTGGGCTGACGTGATTGGCTGTTACCAGGCAACCCGCTCTCTCGTCAGGACGGGCTGAGCCGCATGGCCCTGTGTTCCAGGGGAGTTGGAGCTGAGGTGCTGAAAATGGAAACAGAGATCGGGTGGCCCGAGGCGGCAAGGCCTGGACACGCTCTTTGGCCTGAGGCCTGTAACTCCTGCGTCACGTCTCAGGCTGAGCAGCAGTGGGGAATGGACACAAGGAACAAAAAGAAGCAGCAGTGCCCACCTGAGTCAGGCCTCCTGCCGCTGCTCAGTTGCCTGGCCGGGGAAGGACATCTGTGTCCTGCCAGCGTTTCACAATGGCCTTGTGTGGTTTGGAAACCATCTTCATCTCTGGGAGATGAAGGCCGGACTCAAAGACCCATCAGGGCAGGCAGTAATAGTAGCAATAAGTATGGCATGGAGGAAAGGACGCCGAAGGAGTCCAGCCCTGGGTTATAGTCCTGGCCTATCCTGCTGTGCTGTGTGATCATGAGCATGCTACTTGCCCTCTCTGAGTTCTTGCCTACTGTCACACTCGAGGGCCTATTTTCAGCTCTGACACTTCCTCTCCCTTGGGGGAACATGGTAAGGACTGAGGAGAAGGGACCAGGAAGCCACCAGCCCTTTTGACACTCTCTGATAGGCAAGGTGTCAGATTGGAGGAAGCCACTGGGAACTCCATTGGTGAGTCTGGACTGCCTTGAACCTTGCCCTTGCTCCTAATGACCCTTGACTGGGTCATCGTGCGGTTCTAGGCCCTGCCTCTGCTGAGTCCTTATTCCTTAGGCATCTCTGCTCTACCCCTCAGATGGTCAATCATCTTACATTCCACACAGATAGCTCTCAGGACCAATGCAATGTCACCAGGAGGGAAGCCAGGCCCAGAGAGGGAAAGCACGTCCAGAAGTCCACACAGCAGGTGCCTGGCTCAGAACCTTGCTCACAACCAGCCCTCTGTCGGTCCTCTCAGCTCCTCCCTCCCTCCCTCCCCGGGGCCGTGCAGAAGGGCTGGTGACACGGCTCTTCCAGCAGCCCAGGCTGAAGTGGCCCAGGCCCCTCCCTGGGCAGAGGGGGAAGGACCACCATGCCACTGGCCACCACAAGGGGGGGCTACAGCCCTTTGGCCTCTGAGGGTCTTGGTCCCTAGAACCTCCAGGCTGATGGGAAAGGGAATGTTATGGAAACGGGACGGGGTGGGGGGGAGGGGGGCGCTGGCCCAAGCATGGAACAGACAATCAAACCATTGCACACCAAAAAACAAGGAAGGGAAGGAAGGGGGAAGGGGGGCATCATCAGGACCATGATGCCCCAGACAGGAAGATGGAGGCTGACTGCCTAAGGCCCCACCATCTCCTTGTTCGGTTGCTGTGGGATCAGAGGGGCAGGGCCTGGGCTGGGGAGTGGGGGCCGCGGGGGCGCTGTTGGGATGGGGTCAGGTGTGACTGTGGGGCAGGGTAGGGTGAGGGGCCCCAGCAGAGCTGGTTCCCCTCGGGTTCAACCTGCTGAGGTGCGTATTCCCCATCCAGGTGGCTAAAGGGATGTCCAGTGAGGGGTGGTCAGGAGTGGGGAGGGAAGGGAGGCGGGCGCATGGACAGGCTGAGGGAGGAAAGCCCCCCTCAGGTTCCTGCAGCGGCAGGCGGGCGGGGCGGGGCCGGGCCGCGCCGCCTCATGCCTTGGCCCTCGCCTTACAGACGTTGAAGGGGGCTTTGGTGGCCCCACCGAAGGCCTCCACCAGTTTGTCCTCCCAGGGGAGGACGTTGCCCAGCAGCGGCCCAGTGCAGTTGGCGATGCCTACGACCTGGGCGGGTGTCAGAGCGTGGTCCCACAGGTTAAACTGGGTAATGTCACCAACGAAGGCCTGGGTGGCATCAAACCGGCCCCCCAGGGTATCCTGGGCCGAGAGAGGAGAGAGACTCGAGTGAGCAGTGGAACAGGGCAGGCAGCTCAGAGAAAGGCTCTTGTTCCTGCCACAACTGAGCTCCCAAAGTTCAGCCCCCCTAACCTTCTAGTTTCCCCCAAGGTCTCCCCCCCAGCCCCCACAAGGCTCCAGCTCCCCAAGGCTGGGCCCCAGGCAGATCTTTGTTACACACACACACACACGCACACACACACACACACACACACACACACACCCCTCACGGGCCACGTTGCGGGGAGACAAGCCAGCCTGGTACTCTTCAGTTTCATGTTCCACTGCTCCCTGCCCAGCACCCCTCCTTGGTCCCTATGGTGAGCCTCCAGTCTGACCCATACCTGCTCCTGGCCTAGAATGAGGACCCCATGAGGCTTGATGGGGTGCCAGGCCGCCAGGTTCTCGCCAGAACCCCGCAGCTCCCCATCCTGGTACGCAGACCACAGGCCGTCCCTTGTGGTCCAGGAGATGCAGATGTGGTGCCAGTTGCTGTCCTTCAGGCTCAGGGGCAGCTGGGCCACCTGGACACAGACAAAGACAGACAGACAGACAGACACAGACACACACACACCCCGCCAGCCCCAGGTCAGAGATGGCTAGAGGCCCACAGTGGGGCAGAGGTGAGGATGCGGCCTGAGTCCATCCTCCCAGGGCCTGACCCTCCCCTCCTCCAGTCTCCATTCCTGACCCCTCTCCTCTTCCCTCACAATGCGGCAGGTGGTTTCCCACAAGTCACCTGGAGCCATCCAGCCCTGGTTTTCGATTATTTCTGGGCCTACAAGATCATGTAGGGGAAGAGCAGTGTCTCTCAGGCCTGAAGCCCCAGCTATGACAGAATGAGCCTGGGACTCAGCCAGGAGCTGGTGTCTGGCCTGGGTTTTACCACCAGCCTCCCCCTCCCCCATGCCCCTGTGTGACTTTGAGGTGCTGTTCTTCCCTCCCTGGGCCTCAGACAGACAAGGGAGGGTAGAGATGTGCAGTCACAGCCTCTTCCTCCACCCTGGGCAGACATGACTAATCAATCCTGAACCTCCACTGAGCTACATAAGCCTCTGCTGTGCTCTGAGGGGAGCCTATGGGATGACAGGTCTTGCTGCCTGAATTGGATGCGCCTAGGGACTCCTCACTCTAAAGGTTCTTTGAGATTGTGATTTCGTGTAGCCCTCCCAGAGGTGGCTTGGTGCTAGGCACAGCTTGAGCCCAGGCTTGGGGCTAGAAGGAGGAGATGAGCCCGTGGCCCTGGTGGTGCTGTCCGAGGTGCTGAACTCTCCCTTGGGAAGAGGGAGCCCTGCCCTCTGCAGGACAGGGATGGCGGCCAGAGGGAACTGGAGATCAGCTCCAGGTGAACTCCAGCTACCTGGGATGTCTTGGAGCTTGTGGGACCACAAGGAAGTGCCCCCCATTACCCCTCTCTCTCCTCCTCTTCCTGAACATGAAGAACATGTCCTGTGTGGCTGGAGGATGTGTGACTTATGGGGTCCAAAGACCAACAGGTCCCAAAGCAATGTGGTGGACAAGGGGAGGAGAGTGTGGGGCATCAGATGCCCCCTTCTCCTACCTCCCCACCCCGACAAGCATTCCCCCCACCAGGTGTGAGCACATCCTTCAACACCCCCCAGCCAGGGGAAAGGTGATTACCGTTGGCCCAGCAGGGGAAGGGCAAGGCATAGTTTCCTGAATCCTGCCCTCACCGCTCGGCCAACTAGGGGGCATGGCTTTCCCCTTCTAAGCCTCGCCTCTCCATATTTGCAATGAGGACTTGGGAAGCTTGGGGTGGAAATGGGAGGTTAAGGGCATCTTAGCTACTGAGAACTTTCAGAGGTAGGGGCCAGTGCCATCCCTGCTTTACGGGATGAGGAAAAGGAGGCACAAGGCGGGTAAGCAATGAGCTCCCACGGTGAGCATGGTGCACCAGCCAGAACTCACCTGGGGCAGGGGCGGGCAGCAGCACAGGCTGGCTTCCTAAGTGGAAAGGGGTCAGCCAGGCCCGGAATCCCCTTCCCTCCTCCTGTGTTCAGGAGAGTGGGTGGGCCCTGGGAACAGACTCCCACCTGCCCGCAGCTGGGTCCCTGGGGAGTCCCTGGTCCCTGTCTCCTCCCCCTCCAGCAGCCTTTATGGGATGCATGCCCCCTTCAGCCAGTCCTGCCCCTGACTCTGGATTCTCCTAACTTAGCCTGGCACATGGTAGTTTACTTTATGCATACTGACTGTGCTATGCAGCTGCCCCCTGCCCACCCCCGCTCACCTTGTCATTGATCAGCAGCTCCAGGGGCTCATGGCCAGCCTCCAGCAGGACGATCTCGTTAGCCTGTCCCGGCACGGAGTAGGAGAAGGGTGTGCCCTGGCCAGTGCCACCTGACCTCGATCGCAGCCACATGCACACGGTGAAGGCGTAGAGCTCGGGCAGCGCCTTGCGCACGCGCGCGTACATGTAGTTGTTGCGGATTGGGATGCTGACCTTGAAGGCGTCCGGGGGGCTGTAGGCCGAGGAGCCTGCAGATGGCACTCGGGGTCACTGGGATGGAGGCCCACAGCTGTCGGCCATCTGGGGTGTGCTAGAGCCCTTCACCACCTCCCCTCTCTGCCTCTGTGCTGACCGGTATAGGTGTGGCTAAAGCCCAAGGATTCTGTACTGGAGATGTCCTGAGTTCCAATCCTACCCCCCTGTGAGCTCAACATACTCACTGGGCCTCAGTGTCTTTAGTATAATGGGATGACATTTCCTCTTCCTCCCCTGGTTGTGTAAGGGTTGGTAGGGCAGCATATGCAATGCGCCAGAGCCCATTTTAGCTGTAACTGTGATTACTTAGAGGTCCCTGTTTGCATAACATGCATTCTGTAATGCATTGTGTGGTAAGTGCTTCTCCGTACTATTATTATTTCATTCCTCATAAAGGACCCTACCAGATAGTCTCTGTTACAATCCTTATGTTACAGGTGAGGACAGCTTGGCCCAGGCCACACAGCAGAGGTGAGATTGCAGCAAAACATTCTTGAGACTCTATGATCTTTGGGGAATCATTCACCCCAGAATTTCTGGGGTTCTGTGTTGCAAGCAGCAGATGACTTTCCATAGGAGGTAAACTGAGTCACTGCCTCCAATAGGTCAGGAGGCCCTGCCACACACATCGTACCATCTGCCTGGGCCTCGGCCAAGGGCCAGGGCGGCCAGGCTGTGTCTGCTCTGTAGCCCCATTCACAGATGAAGAGGCTGGGCCCCAAAAAGGGAAATGACATGCACAGGCACCCAGTCTGCACCAAAATGGCAGAAGTGGAGCTGTATCTCCAGTAGGCAGCACTAGTCTTGAGTGAAAACGCTCAGGGACAGCACCCAGGCCCTGAGTTCAAGGCCCAGGACCGGCCCACACACACAAATCCCCCCAGCCAGGCAGCCCCATGAGTTCCATAGCATCCTCCCACTGTCCTGCCCAGAGCCAGTCTCAACGGGAGACCCACCATGCTCCAGGTCGGCCACGCGGCCCTGCAGGACATCCAGCTCCTTCTCCACCTCCTGCCGCTGCTGCTGGCTGCCGTGACTGAGGGCCGCACGCTCCTTCTCTAGGGCCAGCACCTTGGCCAGCAGCTGGCCTTCAAGTTCGTCCATCTTGGAATTCAGGGCTGTGGGCATCACAGGGGCTGAGGCTGGTGCAGTGGACAGGTTCACTCGGGCTGGGAGCTCCTGCTGCTCCCAAGAGAGAAGGGACAAGTAAGGTCACGTGGAGACCATAGAGACCATGCTGAACCACCCCAGGTGAGTCCCTGTGCAAAGCAGGGATGGTGATGGAACGGCAGGCACCCGCGCAGCCACATAGAGTGAAGGAGCCAGGACAGCTGCTCCCTGCTGAGCCTTCCTCCAGGGAGGCCCAGAGCCGCGGTGCTCATTAGAGCTCCATGGAGCCTTTACCTCCAGCCGTCCATGACCAGGCTGTGCTCCTGCCATGCCCTGCTGGCTGCTGTCCTGGGGCAGGGAGGGGATGCGGGCTGGTAACGGACATCCTTGACAGCAGAGTCAGCTCTGTTTGCCGTCCAAACTTTCCTAAGCCCCGGTCTCGGCCCCAGGCCTGCTGGCATGCATGCGTGGCCACCAGGATGCATTGGTTGCCTGTAGTTGGCACTGCTGTCCCTGGCAGATCCAAGGGCCCCATGCCAGCTCTCCTGGAGCAGGCTCATGGCGTGGCCTTCCCGAGGCACCAAGTGGATGAGATCCTAGAGTCTGGAGCTCAGAACCCCACGCCCAGCTTGGGAACCGCCCTGCTGTGTAGGAGGACACAGAGGCAAACCAGAAGCTGCTTCCTGCAGCTACTGCTGAGGAGGGGTGACCCGGGGGGCCCAGCCACTCTCCTGCCCAGTCCAGGACAATGTGCTCAGAGACACTACTTGTTCTGGCCTAAGATCCACATGACAAGCCGGGCGCCGGTGGCTCATGCCAATAATCCTAGCTACTCAGGAGGCTGAGATCTGAGGATCACAGTTCAAAGCCAGCCCAGGCAGGAAAGACCATGAGACTTTTATCTCCCATCAGAAAACCGGAGTAGCACTGTGGCTCAAGTGGTAGAGTATTCGCCTTGACTTGAAGAGCTCAGGGACAGCGCCCAGGCCCAAGCCCCATGACCGACCAAAAAAAAAAATCCACATGATAGGAAAATTGGGGTCGGAGCCAGGGGCCTCACCTTCCCTCGCTTCTTCTGGGGTAGAAGGAAACTCAGCTGCAGGCCAAGTCCTGGAAGGGACAGGCATCACGGAACATGGGCAGATGAATAATTCAATGATCTCCAAGGAACGGAATTAGGCCTTGCTCCCTTCTGCAGTCCCTAGGGATGGGCCCAATGACTTTGCACTACCCAGAGGTCAGCCAATGCTCCCTGTACCCTAGCTTAGGCCCTAGACACAAGCTCAGCAAAGCTTCCCGATTTATTCACTGAACAAATATTCAGTGAGTATGGACCATGGGCAGCGAGCACCTTCAATGCGCTGTAAGCACTTATCATGGACAGTGAGCACCTACTATGTGCTCTATGCATTATCATGCACAGTAAGCGTGTACCATGTTCAGGAAGCACCTATTTGCTATAAGCACTTCTCGTGTACAATGAGCACCTATTATGTGAAATGAGCCTCCTACTATGTGCTGTAAGCACCTACTGTGTGCACTGAGCAGCTACAATGTGAAGGAGCACCTACTCTGTGCTGGGCCCTATCATGAGCCAGGGCTGTGGCCAAGATAAGTAAGGGGGTACAGAGGACCCCGGCCCTCAAGCCTGGCCAGGATTGGTGTACAGAGCATCTGGTCTGGCACCAGCGTTCATGCGCTCAGCCCTCTGCCCCAGTGCTCTCCTCCACCTGGTGGCAATAAACAGGACCGAGGTTCAATCTTCTTGTCACAGCTGAGCAGTGGGCCGCTGGACACTGGGTCACTAGGGCTAGCCTGGGAGCTGGACCAAGACCACCTCAGTTTTCCCTCTTGTAAAATGGGACCCCAGGCCTCCCTCTGCGGGTCCCTAGGACAGATGGAAGGAAGGGGTGGGCTGACAGGTCCTCAGGGTCTGGGAGAGCGAGGCGGGCATGCGATGGCTGGGGCAGGACCCCGCCAGCCCTCAGGATGCTACACGGAGTGGTGCTCACCAGGGGCCGGAAAGGGCTCCTCCTCCAGGACGCTGCCTCATCCCCCCAGCTCTGTGCCACGGTGGCATGAGGGTCTCTCTCTCTCAATGGGACTTGGGGCCAGGCCCATCCTAGGAACATTCTACAAAACTGATTTGCTCAGAGTCTACCTGCACCCCCCCCACTGCTGGGAAACTGAGGCAGTGTCCTTCCATACTGTGAGTGAGCCCGCATGAGTGTGGGCTTCCTGCTGCCTTGGGGGGGGGGGGTAGGGAGGACACGAGCGTGAGGGCCGGGGGAGGCGCACAAGCTGTCCCTTTGTCCTAGCCGGAGTGGGGGGAGGGGGCTCAGCCGCACCCCCAGCGTCTGAATCAGAACGCGACGCCCCCACCCGCTTCCCATCTGCTGCGGGCGCAGGCTGCGCTGCGTGGGCTCTAGGCCTGGTGCCAAGTAGGCCCCAGGGGGGAGAGTGGGGGTGACCGGTACCCCCCCACACTCAGCTCCTCATGGGGCAGGAAAGTGGGGGCCACAACCCACAGCTGTCCCCTGGGAGTCAGGAGGGAAGTGAGTGTGACTCTGGGCCCAGAGCTCCAGGCCCGGCTCGGCCGCTGGGGCTCATGCAGGGCTCCTCTGTACCCATCACCAAGAAAGAATGCTACCAGTGGCTTTCTGGGGTGCTTCCCTGAACTGGGGGGACACAGCATACACATCTCACCTGCACGCTACCCTCTGACCCCCACCACACCCCAAAGCAAGAGCTCCACTTTACAGACCTGGAAGCTGCGGCTGCAGAGATGGGAGCCCGGCTGCCTGAAGCCCCACCCAGCCCTCTTTTTGTTGTTGGTGGTGGTGTTGGTCGTGGGGCTTGGGGCCTGGGTGCTGTCCCTCAGCTCTTCAGCTCAAGGCTGGCACTCTACCTCTTGAGCCATAGTGCCACTTCTGGTTTTCTGATGGTTTATTGGAGATTAGAGTATCATGGATTTTCCTGCCCAAGCTGGCTTTGAACTGTGGTCCTCAGATCTCAGCCTCCTGAGTAGCTAGGATGACAGGCGTGAGCCACCACCCAACCCTCTTGATTCTGCAACCTGTGCCCACTCCCTGTCCAACGCCAACAGTCTGGGGTTGGTGATCTGCCAGAGGGGGACAGGTGCCAAAGGCCACCTCTGCCTTGCAGGATGGTGACAGAGGTTCAGTGGCAGGGAAGATGGCGGCTGTTAGCTGTGATCCAGCAGGAGGGGCCGGCCAGGCGGGGTGGCTGAGTCCTTGGTGAGGAGGGCAGAGGGGGAGGCTGGACTTTCTAGGTCAGGCTCACCCCTTTCTGCTCAGCCTGGGGAACGGAAGAGGCTTTGGGACAGAAGAGGGGTCACAGCTTGGCCCTCCTCTTCCCTCCCAATTGTGCCCACATTCTGTGATCCTGGGTGAGCCTCAGATCCCCTGGCTGGGTGACTACGTAGTAGAAGGTTGCCATGCCTCAGTTTCCCCACTGGCACAAGCATCTTTGAGCCTAGCAGTGAGGCATAGTGAGCTCAGGGCTGCAAGGCCAGGAAGAGTGGACAGGGGGAGGGGGGAGGAGCTCTTCATGGCTTCTGAAGGGGGACATGACTTCCGTGCCCCCTGGAGTGGCCTTTTTTCCTGTTTCACTAATAGCAAGAGGCAGTAGCTATGGTTTAGATGATGCTCTCCCCCCCCACCCCCCACCCCCCGTCATGTGAGATTAGGGGTGTAAGGGCAGAAGGGTGACCTCAGAAGGAAGGCAAGTTCAGTCCCGCCTCCAAGTACTCAGCGTTGGGGGGCGGGGCTTCTGTGAGGCCCATGGGGGGGGGGGGGCGGAAGGGCATGGAAGGCCTCTAGGGGGCCGTGTCACCCCATCCCCCTGTCCTTCCTCCCCAGCAGAGGACCCAGAGAGCTCTGACTCCACCACACCAAGCAGCGAGGAGGGCAACAGGGATGGAAGGCAGATTGGTTTCTGTCCTGGCCTCCAGGCCAATTTGGAGCTGAAATAAAAGACAAATGGACAAAGGAGGCTGAGAGGGGAGAAGGGCTCTTGGGGGGGGGGAGGTGCAAGGCGGGTGCAGATCCTAGCCATCTGGAGGGGACTCCTTCACCCCAGGGCCTCTCGCCTCGCCTTCAAGCGCTCCAAGTTAAGCTGCGGCTTTGAGAAAGCCCCCGAGTTCCCCCTCCGGTGTCCCTGTCCTCCCACTTGCAGCCCTCACCAACATCCTCAACCAAAACTGGACGCCCGCTGGGTGCCCGCCTGTCATCCTAGCTACTCAGGAGGCTGAGATCTGAGGATCATGGTTCAAGGCCAGCCCAAGCAGGAAAGTTGGTGAGACTCTTATTTCCAATTAATCACTAGAAAGTCAGAAGTGGCCCTGTGGCTCAAAGTGGTAGAGTGCTAGCCTTGAGAGGAAAAGCTCAGGGACAGTACCTAGGCCAAGTTCAAGGCCCACAACCAACCGAAAACAAACAAACAAACAAAAAACTAGACTCCTACCCTGGCCTGCTTCCTTCAGAAATCCTGATGGAAGTCTTTGCTCAACCTCTGCCATGCTGTGTGGCTTTGGGCAAGAACCTCAGGCTCTTTGAACCTGTTTTCCCTGGAGCCAAATGAGGGCTTGGATGCTTCAATCCCTGCCCCTAGAGTGTCCCTGGGGATCATGTGCCCCAGGCTGTCCTGGGGAGCGCCCATTCTCCCCTCAGCCAGGAGCCCTGACCTCGCCCTACCTCCCATGGGCACAGACTTCACTAGGGAAGGCACTCGGTTGAAAACCACAGAGAGGCCACAACACCCACCAGGACAAAGAATGCTTTAAAGTGACCGGAAGTGAGCTGGCAAGGCTGGCACGCAGGTGGGCGGGTAAATGCTTACAGCCACTTTGGGAAAGCGTGTAACAGTACCTACTGATGCTAAATATACGCCCTGCCTGCCGCCCAGGCATCCCACTCCTGGGGACAGAGCCAGCAGAAACGAGGGCTGGCAGCCCCCAGCATAGCATAGGATGTCACAGCAGTGTCATTTATAACATGAAAAAAGAGCTCTGAGCCAGAGCTGGTGGCTGCCACCTGTAATCCCAGCTACTC